CCCATCCCACTGCATCTCATGTTTTTAAATGAAGAAAGTAGCCTACTTTTGTGATTGGTTTTCGGTCCTTTGTATTAAACTATACATACATGCATGGGGCTGTTTTTTTTTTTTCAAATTAAGCAACTTTATTAATTATATATGGTTTATAAACATTATTTTAAACATTATGCACTTTTTTTTCAAAGATAGTCGTGTTATTTTATTACGCTTTGAAGAAACGTGCATAATATTTTGCTCGATGCGCCCTCTTGTGGCCTCGAGAGAAAAGCCAAAAGCTTTTTTCCCCCCTAACTGAAATTACGCCTTTTAAATTTGAATATAATTCTAATTTTGATAATATTTAAGTGGAAAATTCTAATTTAGTTTTTCAGTCATTTTGACAGCCCTAACACACATACATACATACACTACCGCTCAAAAGTTTGGGATCACTTGCAAATTTCTTTGCTTTCCAAAGAAAAACACATTTTCATGCAACTCACAAGCAATTTTATCCATTTCACAAACAATTCAAATTAATCAGATAATTTTTAAAGAATGATCTAAATTTTTGCATAGAGGCCTATTATTAGCAATTGTCAGTCCTCTGCATCAATCACCTGGTAGGGCTGCTAATTCAAGTTAATCATTTTATAAGGCTAATTGATTATGAGACAACCCTTTTGCAATTGTGTTGCACAGCTGAGAAGCGTTGTACTAATGCAGCAAACAAGGGAGCATGGCATGCTTTACGTTAGTTTAGTATCTGAACATCAGCAGTTGTGTCTGTTTACAGGCTCAAAATGGCAAGAAATAAAGACCTTTCACTAGAGACCTATTGTTGTCCTATTGTTGGCTACTCAATGCGAGAAATTGCAAGGAAACTTAAAATTTCTTATCATGCTGTTAACAACTCCCTTCAGAGAGCAGCACAGGCTGGCTCTAACAAGGACAGAAAAATGAGTGGGAGGCCCCGATGCACAACTGTGCAAGAACACACATATCTGAGAGTGTGTAGTTTAAGACAAAGACGCCTCACAGGTCCTCAACTGACAGCTGCACTAAATAGTACCCGTCAAACACCAGCGTCAGCATCAACAGTGAAGAGCCGACTTCAGGATGCTGGACTTCATGGCAGAATTGCAAAGAAAAAGCTGTATCTCAGACTGGCCAATAAAGACAAAAGACTGAGATGGGCAAAAGAGCACAGACATTGGACACTGGAAGACTGGTTGTGGGACAGATGAGTCCAAGTCTTCGGATCAAACATTTGTGAGACGCAGAACAAATGTGAAGATGCTAGATCAGTGCTTAATACCTTCAGTCAAGCATGGTGGAGGCAGCGTGATGGTCTGGGGGTGCTTTGGAGGTGGTAAAATAGGAGATTTGTACAGAGTAGAAGGGACCTTGAGGAAGGAAAGCTATCAGAAGATTTTGCAACGCCATGACATACCCTGTGGACAGCACTTGATTGGGGCCAATTTCATCCTACAACAGGATAATGACCCAAAACACACCTCCAAAACGTGTCAGCAATATTTGAAGAATAAGCGGTCTCCGGATTTGAACCCTGTTGAGCTGTTGTGGGAGATGCTCCAGGAAGCATGGGGTGAAATCTCATCAGATTATATAGTTTTTCAAAGTTTGAAAAACCAATTCATCATTTCCATCAAAATCATTATTTCTAACTCTGACAATGTCAGCATGTCCTGTTCTTTTGCTATATTTCCTATTCAGACTAATTTCATGTGCGTTTCCACGGAAAACAATACAATTTCTAAGTGATCCCAAACTTTTGAGCAGTAGTGTACATACATGCTTATATACATATGACACACACACACATATATATATACATACATACACACACACACACACACACACACACACACACACACACACATATATATATATATATATACATACATACATACACATATACACACACATATATATATATACATATACATACATATATATATATATATATATACAGTGGGGAAAAAAAGTATTTCCCACATAGTGAGGTAGACATGTGGGGGCGTGTTAGAACGAGGTGTTTTAGGGGGGCGTGGCTGACTCTTAACTTTTATAAAGAATATCTCTTTGGATTTGAGACTTTAGTCTTTGCAACTTTACAGATCTTCTTTATGCACCAAGAGCTTGTAACACCCCAAAGAGAAAGGAAAAATTGAAATCGCATCACATGACCCCTTTAAAATAGAAAATCATTATTTTACACCATAATAATATTTCACAATATTACATTTTTTCCTGTATATCTGATCAAATAAACACAGCATAAGAAACTCCTGTAAAAAACATTAAAAATCGTTCTGATCCCAAACTTTTGACCGGTGGTGTGTGTATATATATATAATTAAACTATCGCTTAATATCCAGCGATATCGTCGACTTGATTGCACAGATACTATTTAAACTGAACTGGATGATGATGATACCACTGAATTCAATGAGGAACTGCCTTTAACTGTAAATTGAGTGTTTACTATTATCCTTCTGCACTGACAGACTATTCTCCTATTTTAATACCGTAAAGCTGCTTTGACACAATCTGTATTGTTAAAAGCGCTATGCAAATAAAGGTGACTTGCAGATTACTTACACAATGGAAATATAACAATAAAATAAAAAATAGCTGCAATATTACATGCAATAAGTATGTATGTACAGACCCGAATCTTAAGGATAAGCAGCCATAACAGCAACGGCGAGAGAGAGGAGTGTGTGAGGGCTCAGACTCACTCAGTGCAGCTGTGCTGGAGAGTGTGGAGTGCTGCTCTGCTCTCAGAGATGCTCCTCACTCTCACTTCACCTGCTGCATTCACACAGCAGCACAGCACTGACGGGCCTCTGCTGAGCTCCAGCGCCGCGGCGTCCTCCACCGCCCCGCACGCATCGCGCTCCGCCAGCAGACGCACCTCCAGCGCGCCGGACGCACCGCCGCCGCACGCGCCAAGCATCGCCAGCCGCAGCACTCAGCTCGCGCACACCGACGCTTCCGCTGCGCTAAAGAACAAGCGTCGGTCGAGATCAAAGAGAAAGCGTGCGTTCGGATGTAAAAACATGAGATGCGCGCACAGCTGATTATCACATGATCACATGTCAGTCACATGATCAAAGCGACGGCAGAAAAACCAGTCAAACACGGCGCTAATCCAACCAAACACATGATGTGTGAAATAAAGAAATAAAGAAAATATATGTAGTAATAATTATAGCAATCATTATTATTGTAGCCATTTAAAATATATCCAAAATAAACAAAAATAAAATGCATTAGTTGCATTTAAAGGGTTAGTTCACCCAAAAATGAAAATGAGTCCATGTTTTACTCACCCTCGAGGCATCCTATGTGTATAAGTCTTTCTTCTTTCAGACGAATCCAGTCGGAGTTATATTAAAACTGATCCTGGCTCTCGCAAGCGTTAGAATGGGAGGAGGTGTGTGTTTCTGTTCAACGGTCCACAAGAAGTCAAATAAAGAGCATGCATCCGTCATAAAACCTGCCGAAAAAAGTAAAAAGTAAAAGAAAAGTATCCATATTTCAAACCCAATAAACACTTTTCTCTCGCTTCCGGTATCTGTCGTATGCGAAAGCAGTTCCGGTGAGTAAAAGTAATAAGTAATATTAAATTAAATAAGCATGTCGGCGAAAAAAAAAAAAAGAACATGGAATATTTAAATCGATCTTGAATTTGTTTAGTTTAAAAAATACATTTTTAGGTTTTAGTGCATAGAAAACTTTGGGCTTGCAGTATTGAAGGGGGTCTTGGAGTAAGAAAGGTTGAGAACCACTGCTTTAGGTAAATGCAGGCTCAGTTCTACTAAAAATTGAACATTATTTTATTTTTTAATTAAAAATGAAATGAATGCAATATAAAGATACATCCCAGCTAGCGTTTTAATTTATTTATATGTTATTATTTATTTATTTTTCACTTGGTAGATCTCGGTGAGTGAAAAGTAGATCCCCACACACACAAAAAAAGGTCACCTAAAGGGAACGTTCTATTTACGTTAAGAAACCTTTCCTGGCTGACCAAAAGGGAACGTTTCTGGGAACCACAAATTGTTAGCTGGGAACTTCTAAATAATGCTAATATATGTTTAACATTTTCACATAATATAAAAAAAACTATAATAATAATAATAATAAATAATGGTGCTGACCTGCAAAGTATATTTTCTGTATTAAAATGTGCATTGTAATATCCTATGGAAATGTAAATATATGTATAATATGCATTTGTTTGTAAACTGATGCTTATGTACCCTCTTTTTTTCCTTTTCTTTTCTTTTTCCTTGTTCCTTCTGGTTGAGGCATGTGAAATGTTTTGTTATATAGTGAGATATGGCACTGTACATGCTACTTGTTGACAATAAAGCATTATAAAAAAAAAATTAAATAAAAAAACTTCTAAATAATGTGATTCATCGATGGGTCTGCGCTCGGCGGTTCTTCTTCTTCTTCTTCGCTTGGTTAATGGCGGATTGCAAGGTGCATACCGCCACCTACTGTACAGGAGTGCGCAACATTATGTCATTTAGAGTGTTTTCATATTCTGTTCGTCAACCCTGCGTCTTTAAGACATTTAAATAATGCCTCCCGGGTAACTCTTATCCCCTCTCCCTCTCCTTCTGTTCCCAGTATCCCCATCAAACTCCACTCTTGATCGCTCTGGTCTGTGTGAAGGCGGAAGTGCGGAATGCGGAAGTGCGGAAGGCGGAAGTAGTGATGGCTATGGAGCGGAGCGGGTCATGGAGCGGGTGTCCGGTCTGCTGAGTCGAGTCTGGCTTTTAGCGGGACTCTCTGACGCGACGGAGGACCAGAGAAGCAAGAAGATGGAGGACAAAGCGCTGGAGGTGTACGGTGAGTCACGGTGACCTTCACACAGACGCCCTGTGCTGTGTACCGTCGCACAGGGAGAGCTCAGATAGAGATAGCATGATATATATATATATATATATATATATACACACACATACATGTATACACACACACAGACACACAGATACAGGTTTGTTTTTGTGAAAAGTGGGGACTCTCCATAGGTGTAATGGTTTTTATACTGTACAGACCGTATATTCTATTGTCCTACACCAACCCTACCCCTAAACCTACCCCTCACAGGAGACTTTGTGCCATTTCAGATTTTCAATACACTCCATTCTGTGTGATTTATAAGCGTTTTGAAAAGTGGGGACATGGGGTAATGTCCTGAAAAGTCACCTTCTCCTTGTAATACCT